CTTTGAAACCGTTGGTTGCTCTCTGATCATTCGACATAGTTCTTATGCCTCATCCGACTCTTCCTGCTTGCGTCACAGCCAAATATGTGCTTGTGCTCGATATCTACAACAGCCCCGTCGTCTCAGTGAATAATCGAAGCTGATGTCAGAGATTTCAATGTCGATCCCGTTGCGGCAGAAAACAATTTCATTGTTTCCAGCTACTCGCAACTAATATTTGCCCATCAATTCTTACCGCAGCTTTCGCTGTGTTTATCTCATCGTCGATATATCAGCGATTAGAAGAAGAGTGCTAGTGCGACCTGGCCATACAGTAGTAGTATAGGCCTACACACGCCAGTGTCCCACACTCCGCTTACTTTATACCATCGGCCCGAGTGTCTTCTCTGCATGCCATGCGGCCGCGCCTAACACTACTTGCTGGCTGCTGCGTGCATATTTGTGCGAATAACGAAAGTAACAATGTGGAATTAAAGTTATAGTTGTTGGGATGTCATTGATGTGTTACTGTGATTTGCGTATTACGGCGGGCCCATTTTATCTGATTTACAAGCCATAGGGACTATATAGAGAATAAATTAGAAATGTATTATTAATGATATTCCTACACACACGCACGCACGCGGCGCAGGCCACACACACACACCACACACACACCACAACACACACACACCACGACACACACACACACACACACACACACACATACTATATATATATATACAACGCGCGGCGCACGCACGCACGCACGCACACAACACACACACACGCGCGCCGCGCACTCACACCACACACACACACACACACACACACACACTACACACACACCACAACACAACAACACACACACACGAGCACACACAACACACACACACACACACACACAGCACACACAGCCCAGCACCACAACGCACACCACACACACACACACACACACACACACACACACACACACACACACTACACCAACACACACAACACACACACACACACAGCACACACACACACACACACACACAGTACACCACATATATAATATATATACATACACGGTATATATTCGAACGCAATTATAGTAATATGGTACTAAACGTGTACCGGCGCCGGCGGTGCTTCTTAACCTCATTATTATCTTACAGAGATCGAGGAAGCGATGAGAGGTGACCTAGAAGGCATTGCCATGTAATAGCGTAGCGATCGCTGGAGCGGGGAGCCCTTCGCAGACTTCTTTCCACGAGGGAATACTGTTCGATATCGCGTGAGCACGAGGGGCAGCGGAATGAGCGCGAGGCACTAAAAACATCTATACATGCACGCAGGTCTAGCGTGTACGGGACGCCTGGGGGAAGCATTATGGCGAATTAGCAATAATATCTTATGTTTAGGTAAATAATTAAACAGATGCTAGTAGTAAGAGAATTTCGCGTTCCGTGACTCGATTCACAATGTGCGGTTACTATAGACCGGCGTTACCGGCGGCGGCCGCAATATATCTTGCGGCTATTTTGCATATTCGTCCGTTTATATGCGATGTTTATGAGATATAAAAAATGTGAAGTAAAATTCTCAATTAAAGCAAAACGGTGTTTTACACACTAATGTAACGTATACCTATAACTTATTTATTTCGAGATAAAATTGTAACTAATGTGTAAATGTTTCATGCAATCGATTTGTACATTGGCGTCTGTCTATATCTGTGATGGGTTATACGTCGTAAAACAATACATATATATATAATTATAATTATATATATATATATATATATATATATAATTGTGTAACAGGTATCGCGTCTAAAAAATACCAAAGGCAAATGTTCCTTATATTATTTTATTCTCTGACCTCGTACAGAAACATGCTCATACTTATACGCAACGCTGCATCGCTGCGTCCTGAGCTATTTTGTCGTAAGTAATTAACGATGCATGGTTCGTAACGATGTTGATTGTGAAGTTTGTGAGCTCTACGGCTCGCGTCTGTCTCACCTTATAACGACATCATCGATCACGTGCACGCGCATGCGTGAAGTCACAGACAGGCTGAATAATGACCAGACTACGGCACAGTCAGGCAGCCTAGCTGTTCATAGTGTTCCTACGCAAGATATGCGGCTTTTTCGAAACATGAGCGCACCGAGAATAAATTGCGATTGTGAAAACCTTATTGGCGGAAAACGTTGACGATGCTACTTGTGACTTTCGTGAATCGACGAGTTTTTCGTTGTTTATCGTCGAGGCAGGTCCTATTAGTTAGTATTGATTCACCGTTGTCGCTGCTATTTCAGATCGGTAATAACAGATTGTTCTCAACCGCAAGAGCTTATATCGCATTAGCTACGTTGAGAATGAACACACGTATACGCACGCACGCGCACGCATGCACGCACGCACTGCATACACACGCACGCACTGCACACACACGCACGCACTGCACATGATACAAGAAGTAGATAATAGGGAAATTCCCTATTAACTACTTCTGATGATACGTAACTCGAATTACAGGTCGCCCGACGATATACTAGTAACTTTCGATATTAACCAAACTACTGGTCTACCCAGGCTTTTATTAAGGACAAAGTGATAAATTGTCCGCTAGGTGTGCGCCCGCCGATAGCCGTCGTAATTCATCTAGATGCAATGTAGTCTGCATGGCTGGGTCGATATATACCGTTATACGCTCTGCGCTCAGTGTTATACACGTTCGGGTTAACGTTGCCCAGAAGGAAAACTAAATCATTACGGCTGTCTCCTATTCCGACATGCTTCTTCCCTCTCTCTCTCTCTCTCTCTCTTTCTTCCTCGAAACGTTTTGTCGGCAGCATTTACGAATTTACGGACCTCTTTCGGACGATCCAGATTGGCGCGAATTCGGTTAGAATCATCAGCTGGAAACCCGTTTGTCTGTGTTTCGATCATTAAGGCCCTTTACCCGTACAATAATGGCGGCCCGACGGAACATCTCGCCGTCGACAACGCGTAAGTGCCCATTACGGGCACAATCCACATTCACGTACGAGTGTAGCGAAAACTATATGAATGAACTTCGCGTGGGAAGCCGGGAAGCAATCGGACACGCACCACCGCACCGCATAACCATGCGCCGAACACGAGCCCGCGTGCGTCACGTGGTTCGAACAACATTGTACACGGCAACCCGGTGCGTCACACGGCAATCAGTACTAATTAGTTCCAGACGATGTATTGTATCAGAAGTAGATAATAGGTATTATATATAGGACCTTATTATCTACTTCTGATTATATGTATTATTCGGTGCATAGGAGGCGGATGTGTGCTCACACTTGAGCGAGGTACACACGACGAACAGTATTAGGTTTGAAGGTGAGACTGATTATTGCACGAGCGATAACTGCGTGGCTGTATAAAATAATGGAGTGGCCGAAAATTGCTATAGGGATTTGGCGGGTCGCACAGGCGTTATGATTATATTCCGAAATATGCGTCAACAGGAGTGAATAAAATAAAATTCGCCATGGTTATTGTGGGCGCTCACGCCTGAGGTTAGGATCATCGTTCAACCCATTGTTACACTTTGTGGCAATGTACAGTTCGAAATATTCTCAGTTCTTGCTATAACAAACTGATATGTTAAATTGATTAACAAGTTAATGAAGCATTTTCCTAGCACTGAATCTTGTTTTTTTCCTTGCGCACAGCAACATGAATTTGATTGATGACATTTAGGTCGTAGCTAAATCTATATCAGGAATGAATAAAAATAGAATCTCTTATTATTCACTCTTGATAATAAGGTACGCGATTCAACGATGAATATTTCTGACTTGGCTGATCATTTTCTAGCTTACTAGCACGCACAACGAACGAAATTCGTCGCGTGCGTAGTGTAACATGAACTACTATTGTTGAAAGCTGCAGATTAATTGCCCTTTGATCGATGCGTTGAAGTAGAAATGACGTCGGTAACACAGATATCTTTTGTTTTATATCCAAACGTGTCCGCGTGTAATAGAATGCGGCAGGCGAATCGGTGTCTGAATGCCATATCGCGTTACCTAGAGCATAACCATCAACCATGCGTTACCGCAAAACATTTTGTGATCAAATTTAAACAGCAAAATACGACGAGTGATATTATATATACGCCCTTTCTCTCTGTCCCTGTCTGCCTCTCTCTCGCTCTCGCTCTCGCTCTCGCTCTCGCTCTGTGTGTGTGTGTGTGTGTGTGTGTGTGTGTGTGTGTGTGTGTGTGTGTGTGTGTGTGTGTGTGTGTGTGTGTGTGTGTGTGTGTGTGTGTGTGTGTGTGTGTGTGTGTGTGTGTGTTTGTGTGTGCTCGTGTTGTGGTGTGTTGTTGTTGTTGTGGTGTGTGTGTAGTGTGTGTGTGTGTGTGTGTGATGTGTCTGTGTGTGTGGTGCTGTGTTGTGTGTTTGTGTGTGGTTGATGTGTGTGTGTGCCCAGCCCGCGAGTGTGTGTGTGCCTCCGCGAGTGCGTGTGCGTGTATGTGCGTGTGTTCGTGTCGGAGATATATGCGCACGCGCGTGCTGGGGAATGTATGTGCGCGCGGGATTTTCCGTGCGTGCGTGCATGTATCTGGCCGGATATTTGAACTAGGCGGCGGGGCCTCAAGTGAGAAACATGTTTGTCAGTTCAGCAGCGTGATAGTTAAAAAAATCTCATATCGATTGCACAACGCAAGCGAATAACAACACGAAGCTTGTAATAATTCTTACCAATGGAGCGGAATCGATGCTCGCCTCAGTTTATGTAACACCTTCTTGGAAGAAATTCTGTTTTGGAGACGAGTGAAATTGGACGTTGCGATGAGAGAGAACGCCGCCTAGAGAAATATGAGCTTTAAAAGAATATCGTGCAGGCACCCCAAGAGAATTTACAAAATTCGTTCTCCTTCATCCTGTTTTACTGAATTATTTTATCATTCTCGCTGCCTGCTTTTCCTCTGTCCGTGTGTATCCATTTCATATCTACGTTCTCTTCATTTTCTTGTCATTTTTTGCCACTTTAAGAGCTTCGCTACCTCTTCCTTTCGCACATTTGATCCTACTGAATCTATTTCTCATCCTCTTCCCCATCTCTCTGTAACCCTCTTACAATCGGACTACAATTTTGCTTTTGGCAGTCCCCCTTTTTATTTGCTGGCTCGTGTAGCCCAACTATTTTTGCAATATACATAATAATAATATATAATAATAATAATAATAAATAATAAATAATAAATAATACGGTAATCATAATATATAATTATATATATATATATATATATATATAATAATATATATATATATATATAAGAATGTTCATGTCTCTCATTCGTACTCGAACACTACCGTGCCAGTGTTGGACTACTCTCCAAGATTGTTGTATGTGTTGTGTATAATATATACATACAGACGCGAAGTAAACTCGCATATATACGCGGGCATGTACACACGCACGCACACATACACGCGCAGGCGCGCACGCACACACACGCACACACACACACACGCACGCACGCACGCACACACACACACAGGGGCGGACGCACACGCTCATGTACACGCAGATATGCGCGTAGCCTACACTTAGTGCACCATATACAGGGCGTGTTAGGTTGATTTTACAGACAATTTCTCTTGCGTTTATGGAAAGTCGTCGCACGCCAGAAATGTGAATTTCATTGCCCTAAATTTCATCTCGGTCTCGAGTCCGCAACCAAGTCCGGTTGCAATCGTGTCGTTAGTTCCAAATGAATGTAACGGCATACGCACGTACATCGCCCGCGCCCAGACATCGCGCATTTATGTATAGAGGGAGATACATGCACATAACCACAAGCATTCAATCTTTAACGTTTTCGTTCGTGTGGTGGAAAAGTCTGTATTCCTTCAGGCAGTACCTGTGGCGGAGTGGCTTATTTTCTGGGGTAATTGCGCGTAATTATAATTATCTAGTATTAGTAGTAGGTCCGGTTGTTGCAGAGCGAAGGGCCGTATAGCGACTGCGTAGCGCGCGCGCACCGATGCAATGCTGCCTCTAAATAATTGATGTGGCGTGTCGCAAGAGGAGGCTGCATGACTGCAATCACCCAGATTGCAATTAGCCGGCGAGTCAACGGCCGGAGTGGCTTGCTGGTCAAGCTCAATATTTTACAAGAACCTTGGCTGCGTATCGAATAGCTCTAGAACTATATATCCTATCTGCCCGGTGGCAGAGCGAAGGGCTATAGTTCTAGAGCTATACGTTTCGAAGTATGATCTTTCGAACGCTCGGGTGTATAAGGGAGTATAATTATGTATGCTACAGGAGAGTGCAGGTTCTTGTACGTGGTTTGCGTGGTGCGGTCAGGGGACGGCTTGGTACAGATTTTATACGAGGCTGCACGTGGAATTCATGGTTATTGATGGTTGTATCTAGGTTAATTAGCATCACAGCTATTTTAATCCCGCTCGTGATAGTCTATTTATACTGGAGAATTTGTGTATGAACGTATATAACGGTGCATAAACCATATAGTCGTACTGTGTGCATGCTAGGTGAGGTAAAGTGAATCTATACATGTCTGTCGGATGCAGGCGAATCATCAAACTCTACTTACTCTGACAGTAACAAGACAACATTTAAATTGGATTCGAAGCTCTTTTTAATTACCATTCGGCTTTATTATAAAATATTTCTTTGGATTTTGTAACAATGAATCTTTCTCACATGACAGTGGTATCGTTATAATTTAAGTAATTCCACAGCAAATTGTTCGTACATATAGTACCATCTTTTCACGGCGTATTCAAAATGAAACATTTCGTTTTCTGATATTTTAATATGTAACGCCAGTCATCAGTAATGCTCAGCATTACTCATTGAAAATATTTTCTTACATAATGGTCTAGAGTTTAACTGAATTGCTTTGGGAGTCATGTTAAATAACCAGTCCAAACGCGCATATAAATAAACGAATAAATAAATATACATACGCGATCGTACGATGTCTATCTTATAGGCGCGTGCTTTCTCTCTCACTTTCCTGTTACTGTGGGATATTAGCAGGAGTTAATAAAGACAAATTGTCTTTATTAACTCCTGATATTAGCTATAGGTACGAATAGCTGGTAACAATGGTTATTGTAGTGTCGCTGATCAGCCTCACTGTACGCGGCCTTCACGATGTAATTACTCTCAGTATAATAACAATATTATAATCATTATTGTTATTATTGTATAATTCGCGAGATTCCGCCCCGCGTTTTACACAAACCTTTGCGCCTAGTGACAATCGCCCGTGACGCGCTGCAATTTGCTTTCAATGCAAGATTTCTAAACGCATTGAATTGATAGAAAATTATGCAAGAACTGACTAGAGTGAAAACGAAAGCTACAGTTAGCGATGCGCTGATTGCTGACTGATTATAGAAGTGGATCACAAGACGATAACAATATCGAGCGAATCGTTGAATTTGTTTCATATATAACGATTTCTACGACTGCCTATACTGTCTTATGAAATGCTTCCGAAGATACACACATACTCCATGCTAATCGGCTGGTTACTCACGGATTTGTTTTCTAAGATACGGGGCTACAGATGGAGAATTAAGACAGAAATAATTAAGATGCTTGGACTTATAGGTCAGGCGGACAGACGCACGCAACCCGCCCTTACACACAGAGAGAAGAACAAGTAAGATAGGAAGAGCGTGATGACTAGTGTTATCAAGAGTCCCTAATAGAACACTTCTATTATGGATTAATGTTGTTATTTAACCCCCCAAAAGAATAAATAATCGAAAACGAACGGATGAATCACCACCACCACCACCACCTCATTCCTGTGTCCAATCGACGAATACCCACGTCATTTATCACACGTGTTATCGGAGCACGTAAAGTGATTAGCAAGAATAAGAGAGGAGTGGGTAATTCGAGACGCCAGTCAGCCGTGCATAAATCTTGTTGACACTGTGATTGCCGCCTTATGAGTGATGAGTTAGTCGTTGTTAACGGTGATGTCGCGTCCATCGTCCATCATCAATTCGCTTGGGTACGCCTAGAACACAAGAGCATCCAAATGCAAATTTCTCGCAGGAAGCATCTCTCTCGTATGAGCATCGATCAGTTCTCGGCCAGACTTTAATTCGTTTTGTTTAATCTGTTTTAAAAATTTTTATTACACTTACCAATAAAAACGAACATGTACCAATACGATGACGTACGAATTAACGAAATAATCATCACATCTCGTAAAATGATCCCTTGGTATGCCACGGCGGTTACTCACAGCATGGGTATCTTACCGCATACTTCAAATATTCCAGCATATGGCGTTTCTTGCATAAGCCGAGATGCCTATTGACTATAATTTTTTATGCCTATTAAACTATGCCACGGCGGCTACCCACGGTATGGGTATCTTACCGTATACTTAAATATTCCAGCATATGGCGTTTCGTGCATAAACCGCGATGCCTATATTGACTATATATGCCTATTAACCTATATAATATGCCAGGGCGGCTACCCACGGCATGGGCATATTACCGCATACTTCAAATATTCCAGCATGTGGCGTTTCGTGCATAAGCCGCGATGCCTATATTGACTATATATGCCTACATAAACTTCGGATAAGCACGTTCCGATGCGTTATAATCTAATGAAATGCTAACCTCCCGCCAACACAGATGCTTGCAAACACTGCATGCTTACGGGTAATATAACCTGTACGTCAGGAATTATAGCGACAACGTGTATCCGCGAAAAGCTGCTGCTGCATCCGCTATAACCATAGTAACGGTCGTCGTGCTTTGTTAAAGCAACGTGGTAGAATTGTTTGTTATGTTAGCAGAGACTGGCGAACGCGCAGGAGTGACGTGTGGGGGCCGTGCAGAGAGGCGGAACTCCTAAATAAAACATTCGCACAACTGAAATGCACTTACCATAATTTACTCTCATTTATTTGCTATATTATATTTATGAATACGATCAAAAACGCAATATACTTTCTACTTGTATATATATATATATATATGTGTATGTGTGTAATATGATTTAACTATTATTGGGAGAAAAAAAAACGAGTCTTCGCGCTGTTTCTAAATATTACTGTGCCAAGCCTCGTTCATAAAACATTAATTTACGGGACGCGCGGCAAACGCAGCGTTAAATAACGTGCATGTAATTTCTTATCACAGCTATCACCCTCCACATTCAAAGCTTGCTGCTCTTATATGACGTGCTGAATAATCAACTCGTGAATATTATATGCCAGCGTCATACAATAACCGAACGTCATGCTCGTACGTATAGAAGTAGCTACCGGGAATAATAATTGCTTAGTCGCACGAGATGAGTGGCATATTATTGATTTCATTAAATTCTGAAATCCTTGCTACGAAGGAACGAAGGAAGCATCGGCGGCTTATACCGTAACACCAGACTGGACATCGCAGTAAAACGTTAACAAACAGTTGCAGACTCAGAAATCTGACGGTATTCTATCGAGACGCTGAGTCGAGACGTACTCGCCATGAATTGAGGTTACACGTGCGAGCGCGTGTGCATGTACACCAGAAGGAGATAATAGGAAATTATTATCTACTCCTTATCATCTTATTATTATCATTATCATCTTATCATATTATCATATTATCATATTATCATATTATCGTCATATTATCATCATATTATCATATTATTCATCATATCATCAGGATATCATCATCATCCTATCATATCATATTGATCAACATATCATAATATTATCATCATATTATCATCTTATCATCTTATAATATTATTATTATCATTATCATCTCCTTATCATCCTTATCTACTCCTTATCATCTCCTAGGAAATTATTATCTACTTAGGGAATCCCTATTATCTACTCCTGATGTACACGTATATACGGACGTGCACGCGCAAGAATTCGCGCACGCGTACCAATTTCAGCACACGTGCACTAACCCCACGCAAGCGTCACAGTAACACTGTGCTACACATGAATGCTATATATGTATATA